CCGGTAATTAACTGATATCCAGAAAAGTAACAAAGGATTTTTGCCAAGTAAATAATGACTCGACCTCTCTCCTCTCCTCCTCCTTCCTGCAGTAAATGAGAGAAATATAACAATGGTTTCTTTACATGAGCAGAATGTGCTTCATTTCCAGGCTAGGTAGAAAAATTTGCATATGTTTGGGGTAAATATGTCATTTTCCCAGAGATCAAGGAAGAGTACAGCAGCTGCCTTCCCCACCGTAGGTGCAGTGCAACTCAAGATATTTCAAGTGTTCAATTTTAAAAAAATTCTTTTAACATTTGACATTTTAATATATCTGTGTCTGCTTATCACTGAGACTTTCTGCTTGCTCCCAGTGGTTTTCCCATTTTGTTGCAGAGGTTTCCAAGAGCAGCAATATGAGGAAATTGCTTTCCCTATCCATGAGACCAAGTGCCAAGCAGGGCACAATTGGATGGGCAAGGGTTTTACAGAGCGCGTGGTGGGATATATTGCCTTCCAGGCTCAGACATTAATTGATTCATTATACAAGATACAGTGAACAAATGGTTTGTGGGTGCTTTCTTCCCTAAACTGAAAGTTATAAGAAAAGGGTAAGATACTGGCAATAGATAGTTCCTATAAATCCATTCCCACTGGGGTTTTGGGAAAAAAAAATCTTGAGCCCTTATCACTCACAGATTCAGGTTAGCCTGTCTTCCAGACAGTTTCTTGCTTCTTCATGATACTTTGCCTTCAAAATTTGCATTAAGTCACACATATCATTGGGGCTTCCATTCCTGCAGTAGGTGATCACTGATCAGTCTTTGCCCAGTCTCCACCTGATCATACACCCAAAATGGTATGAGTGAGGACAGATACACATCAAGAGCTGGCACTTTAAATCAGTGGTGCCAGAAACTTTAGCAGCATGAATGCAGATGGGAGGAGGCCCCAGCTTGAGGAGCTTTAGCTGGATGGGTTAGCAAACACATTCTGACACCCAAAAGTTTGTTATTTATGTCCACCTGTCTGCACAAGGTAGCTGCTATTACCAGGAGAGTCCTGCCTAATTCACCCAGTGGCTTCAGACGCTGTCAAATCACATAAAACATGGAGCCTTCCAAATTTTTACTGCAGTGTTGAAAATATGTTTGTTGTACAACAACTGTCTTTCCTCTGTGCCACAGCAATATCATGATACTACGTACAGATAATTTTAACCGCAAGCTGCCGGTGCCCTCCCTTCTCTTCCCCAAAAGGAGCCAGTTGTAAGAGAGAACTAGTGATGTGCTCTCCTCCAAACCCTTTCTTGCCTCCATTCATGGGGAGGGAGCTGGGATAGGAACAAAAAGAGAAGCACTGCTCTTGTTCTCACCATGTGAAAAGGGCTACTGCCATTTTTTGAGTCCCAAATGGACTCAGTGCTGCCTGTTCAAGCGCTGGAGAGAGACAAAGTTTTGTAGCTCTTGCCCCCTGATATATCCCTCCTCCCAGATTTCCTATAGGGAGCTCATGTCCTAAGGACAGGTGACTCCAATGAGCAATATAATATCCAGAAGTAAGGCTGCTTCCCATAAATGCCTCAATTCCGGCCAATCGAGGTCAAAGCAAGTCCAAGAGCTGATTAGGCATGTACCTTCCATGGGCGCTGTGGGTATAGAAAATGTAACAGGAACTTCACTGACCTCCAACCAGAGTGGAGTGCTTTTCAGAAGAGAGTAAGGAGTTTGGATTCATGGCCTCACCCAACCCCAGCCAATCAAAAAAGCCAGACACCTAAGCGCAATTCAGCTGCTAAAACATAAGACATTTAGAGCTCTTGGACACAAAACAGCTGAGAGCCATATGGGGGTATGACACTGGATCTAGGGAAGGCATCCTACCTGGCCTTCAGCTGCTGCTCTGAAAGAATCTCAAATGACACAAGATGCCAGTGTTTAAGGAAGTGAAGCCTTGAGCCTTTAAGGCAGGTTTCCCATTGAGATTAACACACTTAAATATTGTTACAAAGTTCATGCAAGCCTCTTCATATTGAGCTTTGCGTAAGTTAGCAGGCAGAAAAAGACTGCTTGCTCTATTTTTCCTAAAAAGCAAGCTGTTTACAAGTGTAAACAATGAATTGTTACAGCACTTGCTTTTGCTCTTTGAAAGCATGTGAAGAATTTCAAAGCACAAAGGCAGATCGATTCCCAGATTCCTTTGAAAGTCAATGAGATTGAAGCACGTGCCATTTGTGCTTTTGGAAATTCTTCCTCCCATGATAAATTTTCATTTCAACTTAAACTGGTGTACATTTACCATAGATATTTTGCAGCTGATAAGGGCTCTGATTCACATCTAAGGGTGAATTAAGCTCAGATGACTGGAAAAGTCACTAAACCGAGCTCTCCTTCCATGTTTTTCCCATCATCAACTGCTTCTCCCTCAGGAATGGCTGAGCAGTAAGTTTATCTCCTCCCGTACCAATTTCAGTCCTGCAAATTAGTGCAAACTGACACCAATTTTATTTCATACTAATACAATGGGTTGAAAGCTGCAGGTGCTTGGAGACACCTACACATGCTGTCTGCTTTCAGGGTAGTAACCACTGGGTGCAGATAAGCTTCAGCTTAATCTAGTGCTACAAGAAAGCAAACATACTGATTTTGGTAAAATGGGTCCTGCTGTGGATGGATTCACCTGCTTCAGCTTTTGATTTGAAAGGTTTTGGGACACATCTTGATAGACCCAATAGGATAAGCTTCTGCTAGGAAAAGGACATAGAAGAAAAATGCCTCCTTAAAATCTGCTTGAAGGATTGGACATAGGACTGAACCGTCCTCTGCATGAGCTAATGTCCTCTCCTTGGTATGTTGCACCTCCTTTCCTAAATACCTACACCCAGCCCCTGTTTTCATCAACCCTTTATAACACTATTCAAGTTGTTGTATTCATATCTGAGCTCTTCAGTGGATGAAGAGCTGAAATCTGTGATGCTGTCATTCATGACCACAGCAATTTGTCACAATTCATACAGTAGCCTTGAAAATATGACTAAGAACAGTCATATTACACTGGCGAGTTTATGAATATTTATATGGCTCTAGGACTTGAGTCCCTTTGATGATGCTTTACAAATGCATGACTCCATTTAATTTCAGCGCAGACAATTCTGCTTTTACCTAGCTATGAATAGGAAATCAGTTCTGCTAAAGTCTGCTGAAGTTTCTTGGATCAGATCCTTCCTCACGAAAGGAAACGACTTCTCTTTTTCATGCATTCAGGTGCCAGTAAATTTCTGTGATACTACTTCAGGCATAATTATCATCATCCCAACAACAGTACTCATAAAGAGCCCTTAAACTTCAAGGCACTTTACAAAGAGTCTGATTCAGCCTCTTATAATGCTGCTTTTAGCATCTTACTCATGCTATCTGCATATAAATCAATGGGATAAATTACATGTTACACAGGATTGGACTTGCAGGATCTAGAGGTGTTAATGACCTCTTTCTGTAACCAGTACCAAGTCGACAATTACCAGAAAGCTGCCAATAATGATATTTTGTGCTGCAGTATTTGGAAACCGACATTACCATGAGACGTGAGAGTTCCAAGCTGAGAACCCAGACTCGGGATTCCATGCCAAAGATGCTGGATAGGCTATGACACAATAAAATAAGATCTTAGGAGAGGCAGCTCCATAATTAATGTAAAATTTGAGCAGGTGATTTATAGCACAAAATTCAGCTTTATTTATGCAACTGATACCTATATTTTAACATTAGTAGAACCAAGTAGTGAAAACATCGTCTAGATTTTGTGAAAATTTTTAATCCCCCTTCTCCTGCATATGCTGATGAGAGGGAATATGTACAATCTTCTCCAACATATGTAGGCATAATGAGTTCTAATCAATGTTTGTTAGGTCCCATTTTATGCAGAAATTAAACAACCATGAGCACAAGCCATGAGAAAGTGTTTGCATAGAGCAGGGATAGAGAAAAATGTTCTTCTTTAGGTGTCATTCCCTGAGTTTTACAGATCACAAAGAGAAATAGCTGAACGTGTGCAATTTTTGAACATCAGCCCTTTCCCATTCCCAAGGGAAAAACTATTGGATCCACATACTAAATTTACAGGACCTATCCCTCTAGTGGTGTTAACTGATGTGACTCAGTTAACCAAACTGATCAGTTAAACCGTGAGGCTTCAGGGCAATGTAAAACTGTATGGAAAGAGGATCCTTTGCCACAGGCAACCAGAGGCTACAGGACTCCATTATTCCCTTGGCATGCCAAGTACATTTTCAGTAATACTGGAAATAAGCATTTTGGGAGCTCTATATTTGTTTCTCTTCTTGTTATTTCAGAAAGAAGACATTCCTTCCATAGGTTCCACAGATCAGACAAAGAAAATCCAACAGCTGGACATAGGTAGGTTTGCCTGTCTAGTCAGACAGACCACATTTAGATGCAGTTAACTCCAGGCTGTCACATTATATCCAGTGCAGTAATGTACACTAGAAAATGTAGCTCATGGTTACAGAGGAACATATTGCTTTTAATATATATCATTGTAACCCCTGAAATGGTCAAAGTTGGTTTTGTGGAAGATGAATTTACCTTTATAAAACAGTTTCAGGAAAAAAAAAAAGCTTGTATTATAATGGTTTGTGGCTGGCTCTTCAATACTATCCTTCTGAGTGCAGTGACTGAAAGGTTTGCCAGAGTTCAAAAGCAAAGAACCAAACCACAGAATAAGTCAGAAATAAATGCATATTGTGATGAAGAACACAACAGAAACATGCCAAATAAATAAAAATTCCCCAATGATATAAATTAAGGGCTAGCTATAAATTTTTTCTTATCTAGAAAAAAACCCAGAATAAATAACAACCCACATTGTTGTTATTTACCCTATGCAATCTTTGATTCACCTTGCCCGGTTTTAAAAACAGCTTCATGTTTTGTTTCTATTGCTATTACAAATCTTCTCATGTCCAGCATGTATGTGATGAGAAAAGAAATAATCATAAATATTTTTAATATTTATTTAAAGCCAACTGTAATTGAATATTACACAAATTGTTTGGGTTTTCATATTGTTTCCATTTTGTGCTCCCAGTGTGCAAACGGGATATTTAATAGTTATTTCTTTAGTTTATGACCTCCTGCAATTTCAAACTTTGAACTATTTTTCTGTTAGGAACTTTTAAGCTTGAAATGGTTAACCATGATAACAAAAGAGAAGTAAGAGCCCTACAAACTTCCTTACTATATAAATGGCACCTTCAAAAGCCCAAAAAGCTAGTGCCTCAACCAGTCTAGAATCCTCCTCATTGTTTACAACCAGTTTTGTGCTTCTGAATGAGTTTGGTTCTCTTCCAGACCTCAATCTTTAAAGTCTAAATCTGGGGAGAATAATCTAGATCTGAAAAAAATAAAAAGACAGGTCTGCATAAAAAAAATGCATAGTGATTTTGATGATGTTTTGACAATCTAAGTATTTTATCATAGACATCACTAAAATCAATTCTGAAGGCTTTGTATCACTAGGAAAAACGCGGAATACATCTCTACCCGACGCTAAATGCAATTACATACAAGCTGAACGGCAGAAGGTAGGTTATTCTTCACGACAGATGTATACATTATGAAACATCAGCATTTACACTTGGAAAGGTCTGTGCTTAGATTGGATTTTTTTAGTTTACAGAAGGGGCGGTGAGGAGAAACAAGTGTCAAAAGAAGTTTGTGTGTTTATATTGCAGGTATAATCAATTCTGCTGACCAGCACTGTGTACAGCCCTCAAGGTCTGCCGAAAGCTTCTCATCAAGTCTCTGGCACTTCTTCTGAAACATAAAAACCACACGATATTATTAGGCCTTTACTTGTGCATTTTATTATTTTCCCATGTGTTTCAAGTCTTTCCCTTTTTAGACTCTACTTGCCTTTGGATACCAATTCTGCTCGAAGAGCACTTTGCATATTATGGGTTTAAGTATAGTATGCATAGTAAGCACTGAGGAAACTAAATAAGGCATCAGATGAGAGAAAACCCCCGTGTAGTAGGCAGTGCTATAAAAAACCTCCTTCCTCCTCCCAGCCCACGAGTACGAGAAACGCTTGCCTCTTCATTTAAAAACATGAATCCAGCGCGCTGCCTCGCTCGCCCTTACAAACCCTCACCGCAGCCCACAAGGAAAACAGAGCGGGGAAACCACCTCAGTGCCCCCAAACCGGCCCGGGGCTGCGTTATTTTGCCCGAAAAGCGACTGACGAGAAAATCGAGTGAGGAGAAAAGCGGCCGCAGCGAGGCCAGGGACGGTGCTCTCTTCTCCGCAGGGACATCACGCCGGCCCTCTGAACCATACGCGCTCCCAGCCGGCCGTTCCCCCACGGATTTTCCCTAAATCCGCCTTTTTCACCTCACCATTCTTCCCTCCACCCAAGTTTCCCTCAGCCGCAGCCCAGCCCGGCCTTCCCGCAGCTCATCGCCATGGCAACCCGCCGGCCCCGCTCCCGCCGCGGCGGCTCCTCCCCCGGCCGGGCGGGCCCAGCGCCGGCCCCCGCCCGCTGCCGCCGCTCCGGGCCCCGGCGCCGCTTCTCCCTCCTCCCCCTTCCCCTTACGCTCCGTTCTGGCGTGAAACGGGCGCCGCGATGGCTCCGGCCGCCGACCGGGAAGGTTATTGGGGCCTGCCGACCTCCACCTTGGAGTGGTGCGAGGAGAACTACGCCGTCTCCTACTACATCGCCGAGTTCTGTGAGTGGCCGCCCCGGCTCCGGGGGCCGCGTCCCGGCCGTCGCCGCCTCAGTCACTCCTGTCCCAGCCCTCCGTGCCCTCACCCCACTGACTAGGCCCCACGGCAAGGGAACCCCCTCTTCCTCCATGGCCGCTTTTCCCTGAGGGAGGCAAATGGCGGGGTAACGGGGCCCCTGCCCTTCAGTCAGCCCCGGCGGGTGGAAATGCGTGTTTTCCTGTCTCCTTCCCGCCCAAATCCGTGTTTTAAGGAGAGGATGGTGTAGCCCCTTCGTTCCCCGCACCCCAGGGTGTTCTTTGCCCCCTCCCCATCCCAAGGCTGTCCCTTCAGCCTGTGTCTGAAGCAATGGTAGGGCAGGAGAAGGGTGTCTGGGGAAATGTCAAAGGGGTGGCGAAGTGAGGTGGAATTTGGGGTGCTTGACACTGGGATGGGGGGTGGTTGTGTGGCACTGTATGGGTGGCTGGAGAGGGGAGTTTTATCTGAAGTCATTCTTCGGGTGCGATGCTGTAAAGCCCCACGGCTCTGCAGCTATGCTCCCCTTCAGAGGAGATGGGAGCATCTGCCCAGGCATGGCCGGCCAAACCAAGCAGAACTGTTCAGGGAGAGCAGGGAGGGAGAAGGGATTGCTGTACAGAAGAGACATCTTCATCCAGGAGAAATACCTTCACCCAGCTGTTTTTTGCTGGGTCTTGACCATCGTCAGGTTGCTCTGCTGCAGGCGGTGTGAGTTAGAATAGTTTGAAGGATTGCTCTGTTGCAGGTGGTGGTCTTTTAGGATAGCTTGGAGCAATGGCGAGAGAGCAGGCTGTTTTGACCTCAAAACTCTCTCTGCCAGAGGCAGTCAGGAATTTGGATGTATTCAAGTGTATTTTAGGCAAAGAAGAAGTTGCTTTAACTGAGCAGGTGCTTGAGGAGGGAGTATATTGTGGTAGCTGATAAAGGATCAAGCTCTCTGTCACTGATTTGCTGAAAAACTAAATACTCTTGCATCCTGGGCAGTGACTTTGAAGGGTGTAGTAGTTGTAGTTATGTGCTGCCACCTGACAGACACCCTGCCCCACAAAAAACTTTCACGTGTATAAGGTAGGCAGTTGCTTTTGAAGTCTTAAGACCCTAGAAAAATACTACTAAAGCGAACAGGCTCACCTGCTCTGAAGTGCTTGGAGTGGGCAATCTGAGGAGGCCTTTTGCATAGCTGGGATGCTTCAGCAGCGCTTTGGAAGAGCTTGGCATGCAGGAGATGGAAGGTTCTGGGTGTCCATGCCAGGCTGTGACTCCTGGTTACGAACATTGACATGGGTGAAGGACCTAAACGAATAGTTGTGAAAGAGGTTTCAGAGTGTGGGAATGGGAAGGAGTACAGGGTCTGAATAGCAGTAGCATGGGAGGCATAGAAACTCAGAGGAAAAAGGAAGTTGGTGTGTAGATTTATGGCTGAGAAGAGGCAGGCTGGCTGAAGAGGGAAGAAAATTAAATACTCTTAAGATGGGACAAACTTAGAAGTTTTTAAATAGAATGAGACTTTTGCAGAGTATGTATTTTTGTGTTTTCCCCGTGGCAAAAAGTAATTTGTGAGATAATCGTCATAGGGAAGAGGAAGCTCTGTTAGTTCACCCATGTAAAAATAAATTTGACTAGCATGTAAATTTTTGAAATTATCCCCGCATTGTTGGCCTTGTGAACTGATACTTTTCATCTACTTCTAGATTACACAGAAGGAAGATAAGGATGAGTTTAATGGTAGGAGGTAAAAAAGCATGTGTTCTGAAGGAAAAGGGTCTAATTATAGAAGGTCTAGTCTCTCCTTACAGTTTTGATATTTGGGACCAGAGTTTGTTGGTCTGTCAGTTGTGCTGGAAAAAATGTGTATGAGCTGTGCTGTAAATTCAAGCATTTAAATGGTCCAACTTTAAAAAGCAAAACAATAAATAAGTCCACTTTGTTTTAGGGTTAGTTTAACAGTAGATAATTTCAGTAAAGATGTCAAGATGGTTTAGATTTTGTTTAGCAATAATTCTGTAATTGCACTTTATTGAACTTTCAGGGTCAGAGGAAATGATTTTTTTTTTTTTTTCTTTGGATGATACGAACCCACTGCATTTAAATCTTAGCCAGCAAAAGTTGGTAGGGAATGTATCTTTAATAAAACAACTAAGTGGTCTTCCCCAACTAAAATACTTAATGTGAAGGTAATTACTTTGGAAGATCAGAGAGACGTTACCCTGAAGTCTAGTTGCTTCATCAGAAGAACTGAGAGTATATTCGGGGGTCTGTGTGGCCCAGCAGCTTTCTGTTAGTTGCTGTGCCTTTATGGCCTCCTTACACTGTCAGAAATTCAGATTCAGAGCACAAACAAACCAGAACATACAAAAGCATTTTTTTCATCTCTCAGAGTTCTCATTGTGGTAATTTTTGATATTGCTGATACTGTTTTTAAAAGTCGGCACAGCCTGTATTATTTTAAGTGTTACCTTACAGAAGGGTAAAAATCAGTTTCTTACATCTCACAGTCTTGGTACCACTCAGTTAAGCTGATGGTATTTAAAAGTTTTGCATTAAATGTTTGTTAAAAATAATTTATAAGAAAGTGTTGGAGGCCCGAAGCTTGGAAGATACCGGCAGCTCCAAATCAAGTATTAAGTTTTCCTTAGGTTACAGGCTGAAGAGCCAAACTGAAAGCTGCTTGTGCAAATTACATCTTTGTGCCATTTAGCAATTTGTTTTAAATATGCTAATTTTAGTACAAATTGCTGCATTGTGTTCCAGAAGCCTACATGCAGTTCTTTGTCATTCACTCCTTAAAGAACTGGTATAAATGATGGCAGCTAACCAGTTGTATGTATTCAGAGATGCGAAGGTGAGGTAAGGTGTTTTTGTAGCACTTCATATTTGCATTCTCTTGATGTACCCCAAACACAATGACCTGTATTCAGAGATTCATTTTTTTATAACAAAAAATGCCTTTTCTTGCCTTTCTGACTTTGCACCTAGCCAGTTTTCCTCCCTTGTGGAGGTGGATGACTAACTGCTCTACATCTTTCTGTAGAATATTAAACCAATTGAAACAGAAAACCAATTGAAAAGAATTATTTTGTAAGCTTAATTATGTTAAGCCCTAAAATGACTCTTATATCCCTCTCTGATCAAATCTATTGTGTGATGTAGTAATTCCTTCTTCATAGTTTTTCAGGAGTTTTGATTGACTCCTATGTGCTAGAGGGCAAGTAGTAGAGATACTTTTTTTTTTTTTAACTAACCTTTTCCAGCTCCCAGTGCTTGTATGCTGAATTAGCCAAGCTTTCCTATGTCAATTTAAGCAAAATAATAATAATAAAGGAAAAAAAAAAAACAGGATTCTCCCACCAAGCAAACAAAACAAGGTTAAATATAAGTTCTGTTCTTTAACACTAAGTGCTTAAATTTTACATTTTACTCTTTATTTTAGCAAGGTTGATGTTTCAGGCCATGTAGTGTGCAGTTTTGGGGGTCTGCTTTAATGTGAGTGTCTATATGACAAATGCTGCCTTACCCTTCTTGCATTTACTGTCATCCCTGTAAGAAGGGTTTGTCTTGTGGAATATGAGGAGTGGATATATCTAATCTTCACAGATTTCCTTTGTTGAAAACATGGCGAGTAGTATCAATTTAAACAAATATTTTAAATTTAAAGGAGCCCTGTGTGGTAGCCAAAGGCTTATAATTTTAAACCAGGAGAATCATGGGGGTAAATTTGTTATCAACTCAGTGCTGTGTTTCAGTTTGGATCAAACTTGAGTGATGTTTCCAGGTATGTGAAATATTGCCTTGAGCTGTCATTGTCCATGACTAATATGCATCATCTACAACGTGGCTGCTTTTGAGATAGTATATCCTTGTGTAGGCATTTACAGCAGTAATCATCTGAAATACGGCTTCGGGCTTCTCAAAGAATTGGTGAAATAGTTTCTTTCTTGGGTTCTGGTCCTGTCTTGGTACCTTCTGCTACCTTCAGATAAGAAAATATTATTATTGCTAGCATTAGATCCATTGCTTTTTGCTTTCATTAAAGATCTAGTAAATAAATATTGGTAACTGTGCTGTCCTTATGGGACCCTTATTTAGGAAGAAAAAAAAAAAGGAAAGAGTTAATGAGTATGTTTTAGCCACTTTTGCCGCTCTTCCTTAAATAATTCCTATTTTTGCTTCAGACAAGAGATTAGAGATTGAGATGACTGTTACCTGTATTGCTAGATGTGAGATATCTCATTAACACATAGATGGCCGTCTGAGCATTCTCTGCATTGTGAAAAGTGACACAAAAATACGGTTGGGTTTTTTTTTTTTTGAAGCTTTGCTTAAAGAAGACAGCTGTCAAAGATGCACAGATCTCTGCTTTGCATGGGTATCATTACTTTAGAATTTAACAACTTGCAAAATTTACTTAAAGCTAGAATAATGTCTCTAATACTGAATTTCGACTGCCACCTATGTACTGTCACCTGTTCCTCTTGGGTGTCCTGCTGTATTTTGCTTCTTTTGCCAGAGGCTTTGGAAAGCAGCCAAACTCTGCCCGTGTGAGTTAATAAAATAAAACCAACTCTGGCTTCAAGAACTCTGTCTGTTCTTTCAATAATAAAGTGGCAGGTGAAGGAAGAATCATCAGGATTAACTGGGTGTGATCAGCCACAGCCAGGCAGTTGGGCTGAATCATTTAGAGACATCACTACACAGATCAGTTCTCAACTGTGATTTAAGAGAAGACGATGTTACAGCCTCACAGACTTTAAGACTGAAAGGGATTTGAGTATGTATCTTTAATGACCTAACTGCAGGAAGCCAAATCACAAGTTTCCTCTTTAAATTTATCAGGCTCCTTGAGGGAGCTCCCTCAATTTAGGGGGGCAATACAGACAAAAAGGTAAAGGGAACATTAAACTAATTGCTGGTAGCTGTAATGTCAAGTGCAGTGTACAGAACAGTGCTCAGCTGTGGGTTGCTTTGTAAGAAAACACTTCTAGCTTGC